ACTGCAGCTGGGGTATACCCCCAGCGGACTGACTGGACTGGACTGGACTGGCCTGGTACCGACAGTGGTACCGGGCAGGACTGGACTGGACTGAATAACCACACGGCCTGTGGGGTCAGGCCACGACCTGGTCCCACAGGCCGGACTGGCAAATAGCCAAATAGGCCCTGGCTGTGGGCCAGGGCAGATGAAGGCCCGCTGCAGTCAGGGGATGAAGAACTTTCTCCACCTTCCCATCCTTCTCTAGGCGAAAGTACGCCTGGACTCCCTCTACGTAATCCTCGACTCGCATGGTGCGATTGTTTGCGAGGATACTGACTATAGGGTCCTCTAACTTTTGGACTTTAAGATTCAACTTTAACTTCCGCAGCGCTTTCCTACTGATATAGCTGCGGGTGGCCCCACTATCTATAAGGGTCCCTACTCTGCCTCTAAAAATCTCTACATCTACTAAGACTAGTTGTCCTTTCGCATCCTTCTTCATCTTGGCCCAGGCAGGCATCCTCTCCTTCAATTCTTCTGCCACGCCTGTGACGGAAGTGCCTAGTGATACTCTAACACAAGCAGTCTTTGAACAACTATTTAGGCACTGGCCAGCAACCTCTGCCATAGACGCATGTGGTTTGGGAGTTTCTATGTGGTGCGCGCACTCTTCTCCGCATGGTCTAGGGGTAAGGGCAGTTGCGACCCCTACCGACGGTTGCCTTTTGCTCCCTATGCAGCAAGTCGGTCCTCTCTATACTTAGGGCAGTATTTAATAATGTGCCCAGGATCACCGCAATAAATGCACTGATTCTGGTCTATTCTCCTCTGCCATACTGACTGTTCGAGACCCAGATCTTCCCAAGGCTTGCCTTGTGGCCAACCAGGGTGCCATCCACCCCTCGTGGGAGGTGACCGACTACAATGCGGACGGTTTTGCGGGGGACCATGGCGGTTTCCTTTGCCGCTAACCCCCTGAGCGCCCTGCCCTCGGCCACTAGAGGCCCGGCCCCTTGGTCTTGGCCTCCTCCTCTTCCTTGCGGCCTCCCTCCAGCCGTGATAGCAGCGTAGGTCCTCCCCTGACTCACACTATTGTCTTCCTCCTCGAGGCCCCACTCAATCTGACTGTACGGGACCTCCTCCATACCACCCTCATCTAAAGTAAGGATCAAGTGATCCTTGGCCTTAACTTGCCCTGAGATGGTACGTCCTTTCCACTTTTTACCCTTGTCTAAGTCCTTATGCCAGATAGTGGAGGGTGGCATGGACTGAGCCTCAAAGGCTACCACTTCCCTACTCAATGTATCGTAGGTGATAGCAGACTCTCTACTCCTTTCAAAAAAGTGCCCTCGTAAAGACTCAGGCATAACACGGTAGAATAGCTGGACCAATTGGGCCTCAGTGACCCCATGTCCTGGGATGGCAACTAGCTCATCCATAACTCCTTTGAGTGCTCTTGCACTCCACCATTGCGGTGAATGGATAGTCTGCAACTTATCTGAGGCTCTAATCCCCCTAGTGACATCTGCGAATCGTTCGCGAAGCAACCTGAAGAACTCGCTTAGGGGGGTAATGATGGAGTATGCCACCATGTCATTTTCACACTTGGCGGCCCTGGCAAGCGACCGGGCGAAGCTAGCTGCTTTGTTCTTAAGGGCATGAAAGGTGACGAGGACTTGCTCCTCAGGGAGGATCTTCTGGAGGTGAACGTAAGAATTAACGCTCGCCTCCCAGTTATCAAAATTCTCTTCCTTCTTCCCACTGTAGGAATCAGGAAATTTGACCTTGACTGGGCGAGCTTCCTCCTCTTTGGGAGCGGCTATCTTAACTCCCTCGATCGCACCTTTGTAAAATCTCTCCATATTAATTAGTCCGGCTTGCATTTCAGTGCCCATGCGCATCATCATGTCATCTGGAAAATCTCTAAAGCCTACGCGCATGGACTGCAGAGCGATATTGTGGCCCCTCAAATAGTTCATTTGCTCTTGCTGGGCCCGAATCATCACTTCTAGGCTCTTGCCTATGATCTCCACTTTGTTCTTGAGATCTGCATGTTCGACCAAATGTGCATGCCGTTCCCTCGTGGCGGCCAACTCCTCCTCCAATTCTGTCGCCACCCCTATGCGCCTCCTTCTTTGTCTCCTAAGGCGCAATTTCCACTCCATCCTCTTTTCCTCCTCCAAGGCCTGACGCTGGAAGGGATCCTGAACAGCCTGGATCTCAACAATTGCTGCGTCTCTCTCATCCTGGGGAATGTACATCATGGCCTCTTCATCTTCTCCCAGGCAAAGATTTGCTACCCACTCACTTGCCATCTTCTCCAACTTCTCTTCTTCTGTCGTGCCACTTGACTCTCCTTCCCCTGTCCTCCTAACATTCCTCTGTAGGGGAATCTCTTCTTCTTCTGCTGCTGCTGCTTGTTCTGCTTCTACTTCCTTCAACTTTTCTTCCTCCTCTTTCTTTAATCTCTCCATCTCCTCTTCCAACTTCTTCTTCTTTGCCGCCTGCTCCTCCAACAAGGCTTGTTTCTTCACCTACTTTAATAGCTCTTTCTTCTCTCTTCTCTCTTTCAGTATGGCGGCGGCTTGCTCTTCCTGCTCCTTTGTTTACGGGGTGGTGCTCGTGCCACTACGCGTGTCAACCATGGTGACAGGTGCACAACTGAGTGTCAGTTCCACTCCTCACCACGTAGACTCACACCCCTGACTGACTTAACTTATTAACTGACTCTCTAAGGACCACATAGCCTTACCCTTTGAACCCGCTAGGTTACCACGACCGACGGAAGCGTTCGCCACCACTGTCCTTTACATTGCAGACCCAGATGCCCTGCACCTGCGGTCAATCCCACCTGACTTTCACTCCGGTTCAGGACCCTGTCAACTAGGGTCTCTAGCCTGGACCTAAGACTAAGGCTGTCACTACAGGACTTTAACGCTGATCAGGAGGCATTTAAGGAAATCCCCCGTAACACCTAAGGAATTATTTAACGCTGCAAACAGGACAACGCGATCAGCAAGTCGGCTGGTTGTGCAGCCCTCAACTCGAATTTTGGGCCTACCGTGCCACACCGAGCAGCCCGCCGGTTTGTACTGGTCCTTGGGAGGGTTCGTGTACTTCGGGTCAGTCGAGTCGCCAGACACAGCCTTTAGCCCTACTCATCCCGTTTGGGTTTGGTCAACGCAGCTCTATCCTTCATACACAGAGTTCCTAGCACCTGGACAGAAGAGACTCAATGAAGAAAGAAGAGACAGACAGACTCAGCAAGTACCAAGGGGTGAGTGCACATCCATAGGGCGAGGGAATAGGCTAAGGGCTTGACGAGATTATACTAACTCCAGCTTGGTCAATTTCGTGGTCAACAGCCCCGGTCAACGCTGGTCAACGCTTGGTCAACTCTGGTCAACTCTGGTCAACGCTTGGTCAACTCGTCGGTCAACACCTTGGTCAACGTCATTCAACTCGCTGATCAACTTTCCGGTCAAAGTCTGGGTCAACGTTGGTCAACCCTTAACTCGGTTGTGGCTGCCGGCCTTCTTTCTTCCTTGCCACCTTCTTTATCTTCCCTCTCCTTCCTTCCTCCTTTCTCCTTTTTCTCACTTCACCCCGGCTATGGCTTCTTTCACCTTTGTCATCCCTCCTTCCTTCTCCCTAAATGTGACTTCTCCTCCCTTCTCCTTCGCTTCACCTTTCTCTCTCCTTCGTTGTAACCCTGTGTCCGAGCTCCGCAGCTATGGCCGTTTTTCTCCTTTGGACCGCACAACAATCTTGTATCGCTCCTCTCTCTCTCTCTCTCTCTCTCTCTCTCTCTCTCTCTCTCTCTCTCTCTCT